GAGTGTTACGAGGAAAACAAAAAATTATATAGGTAAACACAGAAAGAACATTTGGATAATAAGAAAAGGAATGTGATGATGCACGAAATTTGAACAGTGAGAACTCCCGCGCACGTCGCTTGAAGGGACGATCTTGAAAGATTACCGCTGAGCGCACTTTCTTCCCCTCGATCACTGGCCATTCATTTGACCATTGTAAGGTGAACAGATGAACGGAAAACATATTATAAAAACAAAGAAATATTGATCTCAAAATTTCTAATATTTTTACTGGATTTTTTGCAGTGTCATGATCATTCATATATTCCTAAGAGAAGTGAGTGGTGAGCAAAAAATACGGCCTCGGGCGGGAATCGAACTCGCTTTTCATCCTATCCCGGGACTCCTGCTCACCCCTCAATTCTCTTAGGAATATGTGAATGGTCATAATACTGAGGAAAATGCAGTAGTAATGCTAGAAATTTCGAGTATTAGTTATCACAATAAACGTCAACTCATTTGGGTTTATAAAGCGAGATCGCATACCCGATCAAACCTGTCGAAGGTTGATGGGTGACGGCTAGCTTAGAGATGATGAAGGATGAGTGGTGGCGCTAATGTGCATCGGCGATGTAGTGGTAGAGTACGCTCCCTGGATAGGATGAGACGCGGGTTCGATTCTGCCTGAGGCCGTGTTTTTGCTCGCCACTCAATTCTTTTTGGAATATCAGTCTCACTTGACTTTACATGAATAACCAATTGGTGCTACCTTCTGCGCACTAGATCTGAAGATGAGTTGAATTGGAAATAATCTGCTAAAAAAACCTAGTTATTCACCATATGAACCAATCACACTGACGGAACAGTAGGGCAATATCTTTTCCATAATTCCGTCATCTTCTCAGTCCAAAAGTTCGACTTCCTATAAACCTCGGCATAATTAATTGTTATATGAAAACTGAGAAAACTTATCTTGATTAGCTGAAGCGCGGTTGGTAAATTAGTCGTACAAGTTCGGCTGACGTTTCGGCGACCCGTCTTCTTCAGAGCCTGGGCGTATGTAGTATAGACTATTCGAATGATTCGAATGGTCTTATTCATATGCTGTCTAGGTCAAGTTAGAAGATCAAACGAAGAGAGGGCGCGAGATCTCGTGTGATGGTGACGCACTCGTCCTTCCGGTTCATTTCGGGATTTTGGGCGTTTATCCAAAAAGCCTCAAGAGTCTTGCGCGTGGATGTTTTTGATTCCTGCGCTCGGATTGTGACAGTTACATCAAAATCGTTGTAGTTGTGTTTTTGTGCCCTATGTAAACCGAAAGGTTTCGTTTTATCTATTTTAGATTTACTATCTAGATGTTCCTTTATGCCGATGAAAAGTGATCTACCCCTTTTCGCCTATGTTTCTTCCCGCATGTTTTACATGTTAGTAAGTAAATTGTGCCCGATCTCATACAATGCTCATATTTGATCCCTCAGCTCCTATTTCCGTTAGGGCAGATCATACAGTTTTTGGTGTTGCACAATCGATCATAAAGTCTATTGCGGATCAGCTGATGGCGTAGAGTGGGAGGTGGGATTTCGATAACTAGCCCAGAATTTTCAAGACCGCATCTTTTTAGGCGCCTTTTAACCGCGCTACTAATTTCGTTTGATATAAATGGCAGTTTGAAGGAAACTTTATTCAGGTGCAGAGTATTGTTCTTTCGAGACCTAATTCCAGTTTTTGAATATTCCCAAGTAGCAGATGTTTTGTTGCAGTTGGAAATGGCAATTTTTTCGTGCCAAGTCTAATGATTCATTCCTTTCCTCTTCTCCTGTGCACACATTCTTAGCCGCTCGAAACATGTTTTTAATTAGCGATTTTTTCATGTGTGAAGGATGAGAGGAAAGGTGATTGACCAAAATGTTTTTGTTAGTTGGTTTTCGATACCATTTTTACTATAGCCACTATCTGAAAGCTTTACTTGGATGTTCATGAATGGAAGCCGCTCCAGTTTGGACTTTCTCGCGTAAATTTTATATGCTCTGACTGTCCGTTCAAGACTTCGAAACATTTGTCCACTTCCTCTTGTGTGGAATAGACAATGAAGCAATCGCCTATATACCGGCAGTAGAGCAATGGGCGGTGAAGTAGAACTGGAGCTTCCATCTTATACATAAAAACGATGGCAAGACTAGGTGCTAAACGTTGACCCATGGCTAACCCCCTGAGTTGTGTGAAGTATTTTCCCGACCACCGAAAGATTGAACAACTAAGACATTGTTTTAGGAGGGTCATTAGTTGTTGAATTGTGAAGCCATACATATCTACTTTTTGTTCATTTTCAGTTAAGAGTTCGAAAATGGCTTGCATTGCAGAGTCATTTGATACGTTTGTATAGAGTGAGCTAACATCAAATGACTCCATTACGTGCGAGTTGTTTGGTTTTGCGCAACGTAGGTGATCTAGGAACATTTGGGCATTGGGTAGATGTGTTGGTATGTTGAGCGCCTAAGTAAAAATAAGGTTTAACCACGTTATTCTAACCGTTGGTCCGCCTATACAACTGATGATAGGTCTAACCTTGTATGTTGTTGGATCGGTTGACACTAGATCATCAATAGATGTAATTTTATGTGTTTTTACGAGAAGGTATAGGACCGGACAAATAGGACTATTGTTTTTGAGTCGAGAGATAACTGAAGTTTCCAAACCCGCTGCACTTGCCGTGTTGACCCATTGTTTGTTTAGATCTTTACATTGGAGTTTATATTCCTTCTCAGAGGATGGGCGATAGAGGGAGACATACTGAAGATGTTTCTCTGCTATTTCGGCATCCAGCTGATTTGGGATTGCTACAAATTCCCCACCTTTATCACTTACGGATAGACGGATAGTTTTTGATCTTACGAGCTCCCTGATTTGAAACAAACCTTGTTTTTGTTTGTGTGTCGGATTGGAGCTTATTTTTCTATGCCGAATGTGGTTGAGCATTTGCAGAACTTCGTTTGAATAAACGCGAAAAATAGGGTCGAGTTCGCTATTTGGTTTTTCTTCCTTGTAAAAAGCTTGTGGGAAGGGTGGTAGCGTCCCTGTTTGTTTTTCGTTACCTAACCCTTCTAATCTAGCCTTGTAGCGTAGTTGATTTTGAAGTTCTTGTAGACTGCACACGATCCTGCGCAGGGTTAATTTAGAAATGGGTTGACCAGGTGCAAAGCTTAGACCCAATTCTAATAATGAACGCGCATCATTCGGAAGCGTTACGCCACCTAACACAGTGACTCTTGATCTCTCTAAAGCGCCATGATTTTTCAATTTATAGGTGTTAACGCGGAAATCGACGCTTTTACGCCTTGATTTTGATTGAAGGACAGTCAAACTTTCTCTTTAGATTATTTTTGATATTGCGCCGGATATTATTGCAAATAGCTATGGATTCATTTACTATTCTCTCCCAAAGGCGTTTCTCCAGATACTGAGCACAAAAATGTTCTTTTGACACACATTTGTTTATGTAGGAGAACATTTCGTTTTGGACGCATCTTAAAGAGATGCGCAGTAGTTGTGTTTCAATGCTCAGTATCTTTGGAGAGTCCTTTGGTAAGCCGCATAAATATAGTATTCCTAGATCTTATTGAATTAGGAATAAGTTTGTATTTTAAGCAGCGGCAAAGAAAGTAAACCTTTTGTCGCATTAAGACATTTTTTTGTCTTAATGACAATACGTCGTCCTTAACAAGTCGAGCGTATCTTGCTGGTACATATTGCAACAATTCAGAAGTTCAACTTTCTACAAACCTCGGCATAATTAATTGTTATATGAAAATCGAAAAAACTTATCTTGATTAGCTGACGCGAGGTTGGTGAATTAGTCGTAGAAGTTCGGCTGACGTACGACCCGCCTTCTTTAGAGCCTGGGCGTATGTGGTATTAGACTATTTGAATGATTCTAGTGGTCTTATTCATATGCTGTTCAATCCATCTTCTTCTTATATCTTCTCAATCCTTAACCGGTTGTTTTCCTCAGACCCAAACCGGACGTGTCTGATAGGCAAGTGCTCTCATCGCCAGTATGGGAGCACCTCCACCCCACTATCTGCGACTCTGACGTCAGCATGGCAGTCACTGTCTGTCGCACTCCTCTGCCGCTTGGCAACCGTCCATCGAGAAGAAGGCTGCTACTTCGATCCCCTACCACGACACTTCATTGTATTTTTTTTGGTGTTATCTTCTTGTTTTCAGTTCAATATGCTCAATCACTAGTACACCAAATCACACCATATCTCACATAGTAATACCGTAACACAAGCGAATATAATCAATCTATTACCATTTGTTAGGTTATGTGTAAATATAATATGTTGTTAATCAATTAGAATTCTTTTTATCTAACCGCCACTTGCGGTGACGCGAATGTATCTGCACAGCACTCCACAGTATTGGGTATAATATGTTGTTATAAGTTGCACATTGTTGGAACTCATTTTTTTACTCTGCGTCGACTTTTTCAGAGGATTATTTAGCCTCAAGGGATCGACGGAACCGAGGGAGGGTGCTACTGATGAGTAAGCGCTTATATAGCACTAGACCTGTCTTCTCAAAACAAGTCATATCCTTGTCAGAAACTCATTGTTATAAATTGTACACTGCTGAATAAACGGTGATTAATAAATTATTCAGAGGGAACGCTTGTGTTATGGTATTACTGTATGAGATATGGTTTGATTTGGTGTGTTAGCGATTCGAGCATATTGCAGTGAAAACAAAAAGATAATAACGACTACATTGAAGTGTTATGATAGGGAATCGAGCCAGCAACCTTCCTCTCGATGGGCGGATACCGTGTGGCAGAGAGGAGAGAGACAGACAGTGATTGCCACGCTGAGGTCAGAGTTGCAGAAGGGGATATGGAGCCGTTTCCGTGCTGGCGGTGAGAGCCCTTGCTAATTAGGCACGCCCATTTTGCGTTCGCGGAAGTCCACCGATAAACACTTCTTGTTATCGCGTTGTAGCGTAGTAAAATTATTGTGCGAAAACGGGCGTCGGCAGTGCAATGGTTCAGCGCGCGCTCCCGGAAAGAGTGATATCTGGGTTCGAATCCCAGCTGGCGCAAGTATTTTTGCACACCACTCTACATTATTGGGTTTATTGTGAAACATATCACCGCTGTACGCGGTCAAATAAAATGTATTCTGAGTTTTCTAGCTTTCGAATAATTATCCTATGACATCAAAGACTGTTAAGTTCGTAGCAGGCGAAAATTGAGCGTCGTAACGAAAAGTTCGAAACCAATTGTCGATTGGCTAAAGGTAACATTCGGAATCATGAAACAACTTCTAGCTTTTCTATTTTATCTCTGCTTTTTCTGATCGTGCTGACTAATTTGAAAACATAGACCTAACACTGAACACGAGTACGGCTTGCTTAGGTCAATGAGATTGTCTAAAACGTTGCTCAAGTAGAAATGAGAGCTTGCACCTGTTTGATTTTGATAAAGTATGTACTGCTTTGCAGTAGACTCCTAGCTAGGGCGACGCTGGAATACCAGATACTGGCAAAGAGGGGCCTTCTTCCATTCAGAAGATCCTTCATTAAATCCCTTACCCACAAAATCCGCAAGTGGCTCGTTCGGTGTTGGGTTTGTGCTACCACCTATGTGCACCATCCTTTCAAAGATGTACCCACCTTCACCACAGATTTTGAATAGCCTTATTCCATATTATCTCTTTCAGGTACATACTGGCAGAATTTAACATTGAAAACCTTTACTCGAAACTTCATTAAGCAATCTTTCGTACAACACATGTGATTATTGGCATTACAATAGTCTGCTAAGAATTCTGTACGTATAGGATATTTTGCACAGAATGTATAACAACTTTCACAGCAATATACCACATATCCTGTGGCAGACCATATATATATATATATATATATATATATATATATATATACACATATATATGAGCGCATGTGGCGCAGTGGTTAGAGGTGCTCTGCGTCACACACGAGGTCAATGGTTCGATCTCGCTCTCATGGCTCACCAAGCCATCCATCCCTCCGGGGTCGGTAAATTGGTACCAGACAGATCACAAACTTGTCTGGGAGGATAAGCAGCACAGACTCGGTTCAGCGGGAGGCCACCGCGAGTCATTGTAAAGGCCAGATATGCATTCAATCACCTCAAACGAAGTTAGAAATTGAAGTCGAATGCATGGCGCATCCCTCAGGGATTGATCAACGCCGAGAGCTTTATCCTTTATATATATATATATATATATATATATATATGTGTATATACAACAAATACGTATATTTCTCATGCCGCTGATCCGACATCAAAGTACGGGGGGGGGGGGGGGGGGTCCATGTCTCTCATGTGTTTATAAAGTTCGGAAACCACCTGTATGATTTTGTTGAGGTGAATCGCGGAAATAGGAACTGGAGGAGGCACAAAAAATTGTTTTGAGAGTAGAATATCATCATCCTACTTTGGGCGCTTAGTTTTTACTCGGCGCCTATTCCTTTAGAGGATTGTTTCACCTCAAGGGATCGACGGAACCGAGGGAGGGTGCTACTGATGAGTCCCAATAGGACGAAATAGGCGCCTATATAGCACTAGACCTATGGCTCAAAATATGTCATATTCTTCTAATTGTGTCAATCAGTCGATCCTTCTTCCAACTAAAATTCCATTTTCTCCTTTTTTGAAAGCGAACAGTGGAACAGTATACTCAGGTAACCCAGTGAATCCCACATTTTTATGAGTCTCACGAAAAATATAGACTGAAACGAGTACACATAGATGTCAGCGTCCATCGCGCCCTTCCATACACAGTCGGATAGTTCAACATAGTGGTAAGTATGCATTATAAAAATCGGATATTTTTTTTGCAATTATCTGTACATTTTAACACTTACAGGAACAACAATCCGATGAGTACTTATTTATGACAAGTATGTGACGATCTGTTTAAACACAAATATGACTTTAACAAATCGAATTAGCACTTCTGTGCTGCCTTCGCCTCCGATTTCAACTTTCTCATCCGATCATCGCGTGTTATGCAACTTTTGGTTTATTATAATACGATATTGTGTTTCGTCTGACGCGAGTTTACTATATGCGAGAAATTAACATTTCATGCATTATTATACGAAATTTTCGATGTGCCTGCACAAAGTTGTCCTGGACTGTCAGATTGGGGAGCTTGTAGTTATCAGATCCACGCATTACTTACGAAAATGGCACTGGGCAGGAAGCATTGGATACCGCGCATTGTGTTGCATTCCCGCACATATTTCAATTGATTATTTCTCAAAAATATTCCTAATTCACGGTCTTATAAGAACGGTTCGCCTTAACAGTTTCACTGTGGCATAACCTCTACAGAGTTCACGCTTTTATATGGAGATAATCTGGCCTAGTTGCAACTCCCGATACTCCTTTCTTCTAAATTAGCAAGTAATCGTGTTTCTGATAGATTTCATTCGCACACACAGCTTCATGAGCATTTTGTCACAATAGAGATTCTGCTGCATGGACTACATCAAACCTTATCGAGGGTCATAGTAGTCTCTCGGAAGTACCAGGTGCCCTCAACCCTAATTTATATCGACTCTGAATGAGTATTTGATAGCGTCAAAACAAACATAGTCCTATCAACACTCCTTGACCAGAGACTGTATCCGTCCAACGTATGAGCTCTATGGGACTGATGTTGCAACTGCACTGCGAAAATACAGCTCTCTCATCTGCCCATTAACACCTCCAATACTTGGTTGGAAGGGAAGGTTCCATCGTTTGATAAAACATTCAAAACTCATGCGCATATTCAGACAACAAACAACAACAACTATTCTTCGAGATACAGGCCATCATTATCCACCACTTTTTGCTATCAGTCCACAAGGTTTCGGAACTAATCAAAGTACCAGTCCTTCGGCTTTAGTCAAAGAACTCTTGACATGCTTCTTCAACTTCATCAAAAAAGTCAAATTGACAATCTTTTGCTTGGTCTTTTTGGTTGTGTGTGTGGTTTTGCGTTGTCTTACTGAAACAAGCCTGCTTTCGACGAAACATTCACAAGCGTTTTTGTTCCCTGAACAATTCCATGCTGCAACAGATATGGACAAATTAAATATCATTAGATGCGCAAGAAGTTTCCTTGTGAATTACACGAAAATGACAAACGAATCATGCGAGAAAACGACATTCCCATCCAAACGATGGAAATTTTCTTTCCCACCTAACAGAAAAGCGGTACGATGTCGCCAAAGCTATTCACCACCGCCTTGCAGTGGATATTGAAGCCACTTTATTGATAAGAGAAGGGTTAACGCATTGATGAAAATCAAACCTTCGTTTCGCAAATGACATCTTCATATTCTCAAAAGCACTGATGAAGCAAACACGATGCTCAGATAACTCAAAGAAGCGGGATCAAGGTTGAACTACGCTTAGTTAGCATGAAGACCCACTCAATGAAAAATCAGTGGTACACTGGTGAACAAATCGAAGTGAATGGTTCTCCTGTTATTGAGACCACCTTACACGTGTACCGGTGGCCTTTACTGAACAGGGAGAAAACATGAAGGCGAATTTAGGAAGAAGATGGATATCAGCGTGGGCGGCATTTGAACATCTCAGATAAGTCACCGACCAAATGGCTGAATTCAGACTCCGTGCTCACCTTTTCGATTCTACAGCTCTTCCGGCGCTGTGCTATGCAGCAGAGACGTGAGCTGATACTCCTACCACGTCAGGACTACCGCGGACGACTCACAGACTCACAAAGCGCTTGAATGCTACCTTCTGAAGTTCAGTCGATAGTCACATACATAGCAGGCTGGCGTAGCTTAGATCTCCGAAAGCTGTCACATTTTCGTGACCCAGGAGAAACGCATCAACAGCGAATCACAGATGGGTCGATCATATTGTTAAAATAACAGAAGTCGGATAAATGGAACGAATTGTAGAGTGGTTTTCACGAGAATACACTCTTCTCCGGAAACGACCACCTACATGTTGGGGAAACGTGTTTGTACGAAGATATAATGAGATGTGCTTGCAGCTGCCGATGTTTTACAAATCACGATATGAGAGTCACGTCTGCCGCTATGCTCGAATTAAACCAATCGCATGGACGACGATCGTGAGAACAAAACACGAATGTTAAATGTGTCAGGGTTCGCTCAACCCGTGAAGAAAAATCGTTCAAAGATTCAGTTGACATGAATGGGTTTTATGTCGAAAAAGTGTTCTAGTGTTGAAGGCGACCGACTCTAAAACACACACTCAATGAGTGAAATACAGGTTTAACTACTCCCAAGATTCAAAGTTTTGCACATCACTTAACATTCTTGGTTATATAGTTGTAACATTATGACAGGGTCTTAGACGCGGCTAAATTGAGAACTCTTGAAAATCTTATAGATTTAATAGCTGACGGCTCAACAGAATATCAGCGCCGAAACCAGATCAAATGTTCACGGTTGGTCGACGAAAGCTCCGATATCTTGTATCGAAAAAAGAGTGATGACACAAGAAGAGCCGAGGTAGCGTAGTGGTTATCACGCAACGCCGTGACAGATCGAGCACGAGTTCGACTCCAGCGCGAGGCTCAGCATTTCACAGATCAAGCAGTATTATTATATCAGTTGTCATCAACGAGCAAATCAATTTACATTATTCCACCGGCATACATGCACTCATGTTCGCACACAATTGTGTAAATTTGCTACGCTTATAGACAGCATGACTAACGTTGCGCAGCAGAGACATTTATTGAATCTACTTTCATCTTTGTTTACACCTTTACTGTTTTCTCACATTATTCGCCAGTTTGGAACCCTCTGGATAATCTTGAGCACAATCGACCCTATTATTAGCCTAAGGTGTTCCTATCTAGCCACCCAATGAAGCTTTATTCCAAATTGTCCTAATTCAATTCGTTGTACATTGCACTTGCTTTGGTAACTATCTAACGCATTCTTTAAGGATGCTAACACGAGATACGCCTTTTTGTAAACCATCTGCGATGAGTCTGCAGTTTAATTGAAAGAGAATTCCGTTCAAAAGCTGTTACTATACATGTTTCAGGATTCATAGG